AAAAAAAAAAAAAAAAAAAAAAAAAAAAAAAAAAAGTTACTATATTGTCTAGGCTGGGCTCAAACTTGTGATCCTCCTGACTCAGCCTCCCAGGGTGCTGGGATTACGAGTATGCATCACCATGCCCTCTTACCTTGTACCTAGGGACACTGTCTTGGCATCATCCTGGACTTAGGCAGTGGGCATCTCTGTCTGTCTCCTTGCAGCTACGTGGCCAACCCATGTCCTCTCCCTGTCTCTGCTGCCTCACAATCCTAGCCCACCCTCCAGGTCTGCTTTGCTCTAGGCCAGGACTAGGTGGAGGCCAGAAGCATAGCAGGGTCCCCTTCACTTAGCCCAGCCCTCCCTCAGACTCCTCTAGAAATGATTAATAATCACAATCGCCCAGAGCCAACTTCCCAGCTGGGAACAGCAGACAATGAGTCACAGACCCACAGTACTTTCAGGGACCCATACAAATGCTTGGGGTGTTAGAGGAGTGGCCACTTACCCAAGAGCAAAGAGCTCCTCCAGCTGCCTCTAGCGGCCCTGAAGCCCTCCCTCATCCTCCCCAAGGACACCAGACCCCAAATCCCCGCAGGTAATACTGAGGGCCACACCTTCTCAAGGGCTTCCTTGGTGCAGTGGGTACTGCTAAATCTTCACACATCAGCTCCTGTAATCCTTACAAAACCAGATTGGAAGTACTGACTCCCTGTCCTCATTTTACAGATGAAGACAGAGATGGACAGAAGTGAGATTCTGACTCTCTCTGGTCACTCAACAAAAACAGTGTCAGACTCAGGACTTGACCCCAGGCCAGCTGCAAAAACTGATCTCTTAGCGCCCACCTTCTACCACCCTGACCACCACGCTTTGCCCAAATCAGCCCACAAAGGCCTGGTTTCCAGTCAGCTCAGGGAATCCTCCCCGGCCCTATGCAGGGAAGGCAGAGGAGCTCTTGACCAGGCAGCTGTTGAATGACGATCTCTGCTCCCCCAGTGCAGCTCCGAGGTGCACAGGAGACGTGGGCATCGGACCCCCTGCTGCAGCCCCTGAGCCTGCGTGCTGGGCACCTGGCTGACAAGCTGGCCCCTCTCCTCCACAGATCTATCACCTACCTGAAAATCAGTGACCCTGAGTACCTAAGAGGTAACCCTGGGGCCTGGGGCATGGGCTCCTCCTAGAGTGAGGCAGAGTGGGATGGTCCACACCTGTCTACTGCCAGCCCAGCAAGCCACACCCTAAAATGCTGGTCACCCTGACTCCAATTGCAATGACCTATCCCATCCACACCGAGGGACAAGCAGGATGTCTCCCACCACCCATCGCTAGGGGGCCTTCTTCCCGGACCGTAAGGACAGATCTGCCCTGGCCCTTCCCAAGGGTGGTGTATCTGAAAGGCAAGTCCGCCCCTTGCACAGCTAACCTTAGCATCATGCCGGCATCTCTCCTGTGCCTTGTAATGCCAAGCATCCGTCTCACCAGCTTCAAGGGTCCCTACAGAAGATCCTATCCTATAATCCTGGCCTGGATTGGGAAATATAGAACAGCAGTACCTCATAAGGTCTCTGGGGTTCACAACAGACATGTGGGAATCCTGAGCTACCGGGCAGCTCATTCTCAGCCAGAAGCCCCGCCTCGGTGACCCACCCTGCCCTTCCTCTTCCTCTGCAGCAGAGGTTCCCACCCTCATCTGACCCCTACACACCCAGGAGTGAGGCCTGTTCCCATCCTTCAGACAAGGGAATGGGACAGGTAGAGTAAGAAGCCGCCCACCAAGCATCTGTGTGGGGAGCACTGCCCTGTGCAGCAGGACCTGAGGGGTCTTCAGTCCCTAGCACGAGTCTCAAGCTTCCGTGGGATGCAGCGGACATAGTCACAGCCCGTCCCATCACTGTCCCTACGGACTGGGGAAAAAGTGTTCCGGTTTTTGCTTGTTTTTTAAGAAAGGAATTTCTGCCGTGTTTCAGTCCCCACCGTCACCCCCCAAGAGGTTGGGCTGGAAGCTGGGCAGGGCAGCCAGGGTGGGGTGCAGGGGTGGGACAGTCCCTCGGCTGGGGTTAGGGGGTTTCTCCTGCCCTGGGGTCATCACAGCTCCAGGTCATTTCTCGCCCTTCCCCCCTCCGCCTGCTTTCCCGCTCTGCCAGAGTTCCAGCCTAGCCTGCAGCCCGGGTTTTGGAAGCTGCCCCACACCTGGACCCACACCAATGCCTCCCTAGTCTACCGCTGGCCTGAGCTGCAGGACTCCTTCTCAGAGGACAGCAGCGACTCCTGCCTGGTGCTGCTGCTGGGAACAGGGTATGCCCCAATTTCCTGGCTTTCTGGAACCCCAGCTCTTCTCTCCACTTGCTCGGTCTCAGCCTCCGGGGCTGCCTCCAGGGGTCTGTGCAGAAGCAGGCACAGCTTCTGGGAAGGCGCCTGGCCATGGTCTCCCACGCCATCACAGTCCTATTCAAACTCCTCCCCAGCGGGAAGCTACCTCAACTTCCCCTGGCTCGGGGACAAAGCCCCAGCTCCTGCAGCCCTTCCAGGGCTCCAGGCCACCCAGATCCAGCCCCTGGGACCTCTGAGAACTCTCAAAGGCCGCTCGCCCAACCCCAAGCAAAGCCTTGCTCCTCCCACCTGGCCCACCCCATCCTGTTCACCCCTAACCGTGGTAACTCACTCCCTTGGGCCAGCTCCATGCTGCCCAGAGAACCACTCCCCCAAACAAGGTGACCCCTCATCTGTCACACAGCCCTATCTTACAAGCTTGATGTCTGTCATACAGCCCTGTCCCTCAGGTCCAGGAGCAGGACTGGACCCAGCTTATTGCCCCACTTTATCTGCAGCTGGGTGGGCTTGGAGTAAGGCCAGGGCAGCCCCAGGCAGGGCCTAGGGAGGAATGGGCAGCAGGTCCTCCGCACCCTTCAGAGCAGCGTCTGGGCCAGGCCACAGCCGGGCTGCCAACGGGCTGTGCTCTAGTGAGGGACTCCCCTGCGGAACCCCTGCTTATGGGAGAGGTTTGTCACAGGACGAATGAGTATGTAGGGCCCAGACCCCCAAGCTGTCTAGGTTCGGAAGTCAGCTGTTTAAGACTGTGGTGCGAAAGATGACATTTGACACAGTCTCAGCCCCTGGTGGCTTCCCAAGCTCCAGGATCATCTCCCCAGAGCTAAGGGTGCTGATTTAGCAACTCGGTTCAAAAGACATCTGTTTTGTCTTGTCTTGTTTTTTGGTTTTTTTTTTTGCATTACTGGGGATTGAACCCAGGGCCTTTGCACTAAGCTGCCTCCCTAATCCTTTTTATTTTTTAATTTTGAGACAGGGTCTCAATAAGTTGCTGAGTTGCACAGGCTGGGTTTGAACTTTTGTTTATTTGTTTGTTTCAAGACAGTGTCTCTCTGTGTAATTCAGGCTGGCCTTGAACTCACTGTAGTGCAGGCTGGAACACACAATGATCCTCCTGCCTCAGCCTCCCAGAGAGAATACCTATACTATACCTATGTTTGGAAGAACCCATCCACAGCCTGGAACCTATAGTGTAGGGAGGAGTCGATCACAAGCTGGGCAGACAGGCTGGGCCTGCAGCACTGAACTCAACAGCCCGGCATGTCTTCCCCCAGGAACACCAGCAGCCAGCCCTGTGGGCTCTCAGACTTCTGCAGGACACTCATGACCAAGCCTGGCTGCTCTGGCTACTGCCTGTCCCACCAGCTGCTTTTCTTCCTCTGGGCCAGAATGGTGAGTGCCCAGTAGGAAGGACAGAGGAAGGTACGGAGATTCCTGGCAGCATAGTCTGTGTGCTGCGTACCAGGAAATGAAGTGGTGTCTTGTATTTGTGCTTCAGCCATCAAGAGGGAAAAGTCAGAGAAAATTCTGTGTGACTGAGCTGATTAAATTGCAAACAGGGGGAGGTAGGAGTAGGGATTCTGTGGGACCGGCCAGAGAGCTTTGCAAGCTGAACCGGACGGTAGGCATCAGAAAAACACGAGAGAGTGAGGAAGAGAGAGAATAAAACAGAGAAATCAGGAAGAAGAACTCAGCAAGCCACACAGGAATATAAAAGAACTTGGAACAAAGTTGGCTGGTAGCCACCTGCAGGAGACCGAGCCAAGCCCCTAGTGGTGCTAGTGACAGCAGAGTTGTCCTCAGATGAAGACAGCTGGGACGGAGGGATTCGGAGAAGGAAGGGAGAAGCAGCAGCCTGGGTGTCCTTGCTGCTGGTGGGGTGACAACTTCGACAGTAAAATGACATGAAGTAATAGTTTGAAATATGGAAGACACTAAGCTTTATATTCACTTATTTGTTTTAGCTTTTTATTTTAAAAAAAAACAAAACAAAACCACACGGAGCGGGGGCGCGCACCTGTAATCCCAGCACTTGGGAGGCTGAGGCAGGAGGATCGCTGTGAGTTGGAGACCAGCCTGGGCTACATAGTGAGCTCCAGGTCAGACTCAACTACATAGTGAGACCGTGTCTCAAAATAAACAAATAAATTTAAAAAAAAAACTAATTGAACTTGTTAGGGGAAAGGAGGGGCAGGTTTCAAAGTTGTGGGTCCCAAGGCTATTCAGAGATCAGAAATCTTTTGCTTGACGGGATTTTTAAATTACTATTTATTTGGTGAGACAAACTAATATTTTTATAAGTATAATAAAAAGCCAAATTATGGACTAAATTATGTTTACAAGGTGTTGAAGTATATGGTAAATGTCTAAAATTTTTAATGTACTACAATATAAGACACATCACCATCGATACACCTCAAAATACTCCCCTTCCTTTCAAACACACTTACCCCATCATTCTTACCGCTTTCTAAAGCTGCTCCAGAAGTCCTCTTTCATGTCTTTAGTTGCGCCATCGTGGCTTTCTCGATGGACTGAACCGATTCAAAACACTGACCTTTTGTGGTCATTTTGCCTTTGGAAGAGAGCCAGCCGTTGCACGGTACCAGATCTGGTGAATAAGATGAATGAAGACACACAGGAATGTTTTCATAAGCCCGCCTTTCCCTTGGACGGCACTCAGCAGCTGCATTCATTATACTTTTGACGCAAAAAAGGGCTCCTGAACTGCTTCAGAAAGTAGTGAGAACAACGGGATAAAGGTGTTGGAAGCAAGGAGGAGTCTTCTGAGGGAGATTACAGCAGTGTGTCTTTTATTGTAATGAAAACTTTTAAATGTATTTTTTTCCAGTACTGGGGCTCAAACTCAGGACCTTACACTTACCAGGCATGAGTGGTGCCACTGAGCTAAATTTTTAAAAATGTAAACGTTCATCATAAATTTTGATCACCTCATGTATATATATTGATACCACAAACTTGGGCTCTAGTCCAAATATTTTATTTAGATCCTAGAAATCCTTTGTTGGTTTTTTTTGTTGTTGTTTTTGTTTTTGAGACACGGTCTCACTATGTAGTTGAGACTGACCTGGAACTCACTATGTATGTAGCCCAGGCTGGTCTTGAACTCAGTGATCCTCCTGCCTCAGCCTCCCAAGTGCTAGGATTACAGATGTGTGCCACCACACTTGGCCAGAAATCCTTTGTTTGATGGGATTTTTTTGGGGGGGGTTGGTTTTTTTGAGATAGGGTCTCACTTATGTAGTGAGACTGACCTGGAACTCACTGTGTAGCCCAGGCTGGTCTCCCAACTCACAGCGATCCTCCTACCTCAGCCTCCCGAGTGCTGGGATTACAGCTATGCGCCACCACACCTGGCTTGATGGGATTTATTTAAATTACTTTTTCAATGCAAGCTACAACAGACCAGCATTTTTGAAAATGTAATAAGAGCCAAATTACAAGCTGAATTATTATGTCTATTGCACTGACCAGGTCAAAGTTTACTCCGACCACTGTGGCAGAAGTTTCTAAATCGTGTTCTCAGTGGGTGTTCTTCTTCGCCATCACGGGATAGTGTAGCCAGGTCTGGAGCCTACACTTGGAGTAGCACGGAAGCCAGGGCAGGCAGTTGCAGAGCTGGGCCCAGGTCACGCCAAGTCAGAACTTGCACCCAGCTCTTCCTGACCCCCAGTGATGGAACAAGCTGGGACCGTGACAAGGAAAAATCCCCGGGGAAGGAGAGACCTGCCCCAGCACAGCCCCTGCAGGACCCGTCTCACACTGCTGGTCTCTCTGGGACAGAGTGTGCAAATTTTCCTGCACACCAATACCCTTGTCTCTGGGTGTTTCTTCCCCAGAAAGGATGCACGAAGGGACTGTTCAGCCGGAGCCAGCACTACATCAGCGTCTTCTGTGCCAACATGATGGACTTGAACCAGAGAGCTGAAACCATCAGATATGCCTACCCCATCCAGGACCTCTTCATGGAAAACAGTGCGCCTGGCCTTCTGGTCTTGGGACAAATCAGCAGGGTGCTCCTGATGGGGACAGACACGTGTATACACAAGCGGGGTTGCCATATTAAGCAAGTAAAACCACATGGGGCTCAGTTGAACCTGAATTTCAGATGAGTAATGAATAAAATCTCAGTATAACTACACCCTATATAATGTATGGGCTTAGCATGAGACGTGCTTACCCTAAAATTTTATTTGTTGCTCATCAGAAACTCATATATAACTAAGCATCCTATATTTACCTGTCACTGTGTGACTGTGTCCCCAAAGGCTGTCCCAGTGATGGAGTTCTGGACAGACTAACAACCTGATTGGCAAACAGACTCCCACAGCCTTAGAGAAGAGGCAGAAAGAGTACCCTTGGGGGCTGCTCCTTGCCTGTGAGGAGGGCCCTACGTGGGAGTCAGGGCACAGCCTGGGATCCCCAGTCGCTAAGGTGGAATCTCCTTCCGGTCCCAGGCGGAAGAAGGCAGGTGGCACTATGGCGGCCCCAGAGAGGGGAGGAGGTGGGCTTGGGATGACGGGCCCCTGACAGTCCCCTGCATTTGCTTCCAGTCATGTTCTGTGGAATTGGCGGCTTCTCTGACTTCTATAAGCTCCAGTGGCTTGAGGCCATTCTCAACTGGCAGAGGCCACAGGAAGGATGCTTCGGAGTGCCTGGTAAGCTGTGCTTCGGCCCTGGCTGGGGAGGAGGGAGAACGCACTGGTGTGAGGTGCCAAGAGTCATGCGCCGTATGTACACACGTGCGTGTGCTCCTGTACACGTACACACCATAGGGATGGGCTCAGGGCTTTTGGAGCCAACATTTTTCAGAATGGGAGGCGGTCCTGTCAAAAGATGAGAGCCCCTACAACTGCATTCACGAATTCATTCATGCAACAAGAATTTACTCAGCAGCTACTAACTCACCAGACACTATCTGTAGGGTGGGGGAAAGTCAGGCCTGTGGGAAAGAGGCAGAAATCCCGAGACAAACCAACAAGTGAAATATTGACAAGTTCTGACAAGGGCTGTGAAGGAGACAGCATTCAAAGAAGGGAAAGAACACTGGGGAAAGTCCTTCAGGCGGGGTAGTCAGGGAAGACCTCTGCAGGGAGGTGACACTGAAGGTGGAGAGGTGCAAGATGCCAGCCACAAGATACTTGCCAGTTGGTCACCTCTGGAGTAAGTCACTTCCCTCTCTGATCCTCAGTCTCCCTACCTATAATTTCATGAGCATAATGGTAGCCACTATCCCCATTTTGAGGGGGAACAGACAGAGTACAGGACACTGCCAGGCCCATGCTGGGGGCAAGGTAGGCTCCCTGGAAATGAATGCTGGGTCCTCAGTGGGACACGCGGATCCTCAAAGAAGCAAATGCCGTCATTTTGAGAAGTTTGCGGAATGAAGAGTCTCAGGCCCGCCAGACCTCAAAGGGAGGGGATGAGGTGTGGTAGGGACTTGTAGCCTCCCTCATGTCCCCTCCATCCAGCACGGATTGTATGGGTGGTTGGGGAACACAATCCGAAAAACCAGAAGCAGACCACAAATTTAAGCCACATGGAAGGATACGCAGGCAGATGTGGGAGGAAACTTCTGGAAAAGCCTCAGCATCTCAGAGAAGATCTGCATTGCTTGTGGTGTCAGAGGGGGACAGATTTATCAAGCACCACTCAAAGATCATGAGTCCACCATTTGCTCTTCTCCAGCCGCTGGGGATGAAGTCAGACACGCAGACCCTCTGTACCAACAGCATGCTCTCAGAAGAGTCAAGAGACGAGAAAAACAATTTACAGGTAACAAAAATGCCCAGGGGAATTGCACTCTGGGAGGCTAAGACAGGAGCATTATGAGCTCCAGCTCAGCCTGAGTGACTCAGGGAGGCCCTGCCTCAAAATAAAAAGGACTGGAGATGTAGCTCAATGCAAAGGCCCTGAGTTCGATCCCCAGCACCACAAAAGGTGAGGGGGCTTCTTGGCATGGAACCAAGACACCTTTGAAAGCCAAGGCCTGGTTCTGTTCCTTCTCTTCTGATATAGGCGCCCACCCTGAAGAAAAGGCTGCTCCATCACTGAAGGACAGGGTCCCAGGGCCTTCACACTTGGGAGATAGAGGAAAAGTTCTCTCAGACAGTTCAGAGGGACAGAGGACTCTGTTCGGAGGGCTGGTCTCAGAGAAGCTCAGAGGTTCAATTGGGTTGCGAAGCAGTGCTCCTCGCTCAGAGTTGGATCATGGACTAGAACCTGCATCAGGAACTTCAGAGAGGAAATTTCATGTAGGGAATGTGACTTGGGGGGGTGGAAGAGCAGAGAACAAAAAGGGAAGCCCAGAGGCTGACACTGCAGGAGGCACTGGGGGAGCAGGGTTGAGCAGAGCCTTGCTTCTTCTCTCATCGGACAGCGCCTCCTGTTGGACAAACCTTGCCAGACACCTGGGCCAAGGCACCATGGAAGTATACTTGGGAGGGGTCCGTGTGCAGCATTTGGAGCGAGGAAAGTCAGGGAGGGGCCAAAGAAAGAACTGATGGGCAAGTGGTATAGACGGTCCCAGGGGCCATGCCACCTGCTGATCGCCAGCTGCCCCATTTTCCACCCGCTGTCTGGGGCCATGAGGGACAGTGACTCTTGTGCCCCCAAGTGTCCTGCTGTGATGGGACGTTGCACCGTCAGCCCCACGATGTACAGAAATCAAGAGCAGGACATGGTCATGTGGGAGAAGGAAAGGAATCACGTAGAAGAAAGGAAGAGAGATGGGCAGGCAGGGATACGGAAGGGAGAAAAGATGTTGGCTTCCATCTTTTATTAATAAAATGTAAATAAGCTCATTGCAGAAGCAAGGAGGGGAGTGGAACAGCCAGCTCACAGGCATCCGACCTATTTGGTTAGATGATTCCAGCAAAGCAGGTCCTCACAGGGCACCAAAGCGGCATGGCACTGGGCAGCTTGGCCTGGTGGCACTAGAAAAGCATTTTCTTTACAATAGATTAGATAGGTTGTTCGTTTTGTTCTTTCTGGCACCGGGGATCAAATTCAGGACCCTGCACTCGTGAGGTGCCACTGAGCTAAATCCCCAGCCCAAGACAGGCTGTTTGAAGAAGGGGCTGAAGTCGCCAAGTCGGCACTCATCAGGTTCTCTCTCCCCACCCCCAGATGGCTGTTCCAGCCACCGCACTGCCACAGCGGTTGCGGCCCTGGGTGGCTTCCTCTACTTCCTGGCACATCAGCCTCTGCTGTACACAGTGCGTCAGCCGTCCACACCGTCGCATGGCTCCATGACTGCTGCCCCTTTAGATCTTCTCCCTTAGGTTCTGGGGCCCATCCCGAGGAGGGGGCAAGGGAAGAAGGAGACCAGCAGGACACCCTACATCACTGCATCGGGCTGTTTGGAGATCCCAAGCAGGCAGGGCCCAGAAGGTGGCTGGGAGGGGATGGGGTGAGCGGATGAATGAACGCACAAAATACACAGTCAGTCGAGTTGGGTCTCATTTCTCAGCCCCTGGATGACCTTGGAAACCTCTGTCTTTGTTTCAAGCCCCAAATCCCACGCGATGCACTTTCTAGAGACAAACTGTCTTAGTCTGTTTTTGCCAGCAATAACAGAACGCCACAGACCAGAACACCCCCATCCCACTATAAGCAGCAGAAGTTGACAGTGCAGTCTACACAGTTGGTTCTGGAGACCAGGGAGACCAAGGGTACAGCACCTGGCGAGCAGGAGCTTTTGTGCCACGATGGAAGGAAAAGTAACCATTCAAGGGACAGAGGGAGGGCAAGAAGGGACTGACCCTATACCAGACCTGCTCTCGTGGTCACCAACCCATGCTGGCGCTGATGTCATAAATCTGTTCAGAAGATTCGAGCTCCCATGACCCAATCACCTCTCTCGGTCTCACCCCCTTCCTTTTCCCCCTTCAAACTGAGGATCAAACCCAGGGATGATCCACCAATGAGCTAAATCTCCAGCCTCCCCGCAACTTTTTTTCCCCCCTAAATTGTCCAGGCTGGTCTCAAACTTGTGATCCTCCTGCTTCAGCCTCCCAAGTAGCTGGGGTTCCAGATGCGCACCACTGCCCCTGGCCAGATCCCACCTCTTGACTTCGTTACAGTAGCATTGAATTGCAACGTGAGTTTTGGAGGGGACTTTCAAACCACGGCACCCACCCATGGCCTTACAGTTTCCTCTGACGTCAGCTACCGCATCCTTGCCAGTGGGGGAAGCAAGTGTTTCTGAGAAGAACAAATTGAGTTACCCGAGAGGACTGGGAGACACGGCACATGCTGGGCAGAGGCCATGCTGCCACAACACGTCATGGGCCATCATCTTAAAGAGGCAGTGTGACATAGTGGTCAGTGATGTGGCCTGTGCTCAGAACGCCGGCATCGAGACCCCAGCGCTGTGTCCTTGGGCAAAGTCACTGACTCCCCAATGACGCATTTCCTCCTCAGTAACTCAGAGACGACAGCTCCTGCCTCAGTATGACCTCCACTGCTGTGAGGATTACGTTTGCAGGGTCTGTCACATAGTGAGTCCCAGGCAAGCCCTGCCTGCTGCCACAAGCTGCTAATGTCACATAACGGGGCGTACCCCAGGCAGCAGGAAGGGCAGCTGGCTCCTCGGGGTGTTTTAGTTCCCAGCTCACTGTTCTTCAGCACGAGGGCATGTGAATGGTAGTTCAGCATTTGGGAAAAGACCTTCCAGAAACTTCTCGTGGGTCTAGCTGCCGTCTGTGGTGCTATGACGGGGCGTGCAAACCAGGGTCAATACCAGGCTGCAGGGTAGAGAACCGGGCGGGAAGGACCTTGAGGGCATGGCCCTGCTTTGCCTCCAGGTGGACAACAGCTGCAGGTCACCTGCTGTGCGTTGTACCTCTGCTCACTGAACTGTACCTCTGAGTGCGAATTAAAATATTCCTTACATCTCTGTACCCAGCTGAACAACCCAAGGGTGGAGGTGGGTGGTGGGTCTTCTAAATCTCTCATCTGAAAAGTGGTCTCCTCTGTCTAATCCTCCCTGCTGTCCCTTGGACACACTTTCCCAAAACTGCTTTTAAACTGTCAGGCCCAGAGGACGTTTCTGTATTCTGCTGACAGGTTTGACTTGCTTCTGAGGTTGCTGTTTTCTCTGGGGAACCAGGGGGTGGAATTTAATACCCACTTGGCACTCGAGATGCTGCAAGGATATCTTTATTTTCAAGAATTTATTGAGACAGACATGCACTTTTTAAGAAGTCAGCTGACCATAAAGGGATTAGGGGGGAATTATGCCCAACCCCACCCTTCCTGAACTGGGGATGGATCTGTCACTGAAGCCTGAGCCGATGCATTGCAGGAGGCTTAAGTTACCAAACCAGGGCCAGAAGTGGCTACAGGAGGACCTGTATTTACAAGTCACTTTCAAGAAAAGGAAATCCTAAACTGAGTGTGTTGGCTTGTGCTTATAATCCCCAAACTCTGGGAGGCTGAAGCAGGAGGACTGCAAGTTTGAGTCCAGCCTGACAACTTAACGAGACCCTGTCTCATAATAAACATTTTTAAAAGGGCTCAGTGTGAAGGCCCTGGATTCAACCTTCAGTATTGCCAAACAAAAAACAAAAACAACGTCCAAGTCTTAGCAGGTGTCTGGTTGGCCAGCTGGCACCTCTACACATACCAAGTCCACACACTGAGGGGGCCTCTAGTGTGCTCCGCTGAGCCTGAGAACCACCTACTCAACATGGAGCATATTACAGAATCCCTTGTCTGTTAAAAACTCCAAGCCAGGTTCTGGGATATTGTAAAGACCTCCACAGCCCTTCATGCAGTTGATGCCACACAACACAGAAGACACTGATCCTGCTATAATTCCTGAGAAAGGCTTCATAAAAGCAACTTTGGCTCTCCGGACTCCAGAACAAACTGGTGTCTCTATCTGAGAACCAGGTTTCTTCTGGGCACGACAGCAAAAGAGCTTCAAGACAGTCCCCCGCCCCGTGCCCACCTTCCTGCTGCTCCTGCTGAGCTCGTCCCATCTGCAGGTTCTGCTCTGGGCCCACGTCCCCACATGAGGCCTTCTTTCCTCTCTGCTGCCCCAGTCCGCATGGCTTGGAGAGTCCTCCAGTGCCAGACCCACAGCTTCATTTTCCCTCACTCTCGCTCCCTCACCATGCGCCTGCTCTGTCGGTCTCTCCGCGAAAATCAAAGCTGGGGACCTGTTCGTCCTCTTCGGCTCTGTTCATCAGCACAGGGCAAGGGTAAGGGGTTCATTCTGTTGAGCAAACAACAGCACAAAGTGGGATGAGGATGCTAAGAGGGGACAGAAGTATTCCAGGCTGAAGAGAAGGTGTGAGTGAAAGGGAAACCCCCTGGCTCAGCGGGCTGCTTTGTCTAGCACCGTTTCTGGGCTGTGCACACCACAAGGAAGATTCCCATGGCAGCTGTTATAAGCTTAGAGCAACTGGGCATAGGATGAGTGAGCATCGAAGCCGGTAGAAAGCCAAAGGCAGAGCTCATCTCGGACTGATCGATCCTGTGCCTGCTAGGAAACCTTGAGAGAAGAAACAGGACTTTTGGAGGTGGGGATATTGACAGCTGCTGTGGGCTTGTTTGCTCATTATTTTGAGCAGCCCACATATGAAGATCAGAGAGGTATGATTCCAGCAAATCAATATAGTTGTGTCAGGAAGGAGAAAAGCAGTTATTTTAGAATAGGGTTAATTGAAGTAAATTATGGTTAAATTCAGGGGTCAGAGCCATTCTTGGGGAACTGTTCTGGTCCATATCTAGATGTCCCCTGAAAGCCTCTGTGATCGTAGGTGGGAGATGACTGGATCATGGGGGTGTGAGATTCATCAGTGGGTCTGCTGGTGGCTTCATGCCTAAATGTGACCTTGAGATGTGGAGCTTGATTGGCAGAGATGGGTCCCTGAGGAGCACGGCCTGGACAGTAAATCTCTGTCCCCACTCCTCCCTTG